TCACTTTCCAGTCTTGATAGAGTCTAAAAGCATTTTCTTGTCCTTGTGATTGACAAACTATTTTCCACCCACCAACCTTTCTCTCATAGCCAGATTTTTCTCAATTTAATAAGTTTGATTCAAATGGGGTACTCTACAAATGTGGCCTTGTACCATACTAAGGAAAACATAGTAAGTATTTTATCAATACAAAAGAATCATTGAAAAAAATATTAATAAAAAAAAAAGTAAGAGATTTGAAAATGAAATTGGACTGCAGTAGATAAATTCCTGGATATGGATTTGATCAGCTTTTCTTTTTCAAATCGCTTTTACTTTTTCCATTAATATTTTTTCAATGATTCTTCTGGATTGATAGAATATCAATACTTACTATGCTTTTCATCATAAGTCCCTTGACTGCTTCAATTGTCAGGGGCCTGAGAGCAGAAGAAATAGACAACCTCCTCCAGTCTGACCTGTTAGCACTGGCTCTCGGGAGTTCTGACATTGTAATGTCTGTTCACTCTTTCTCTAAATGCATAAAGATTGTGAACGTTCCACATTCTGATGGTTGTACCCTGTGTTGGTAGTTTGATGGTGTTTGTTAATCCAGTTGCTCACTTGTCATGCCCATCCTGGAGTGAGTCAATGGAATGTGTGGCAATTGTTGATCCAGGCCTCAGCCAATCTGGCATGGTGTTGCTTTGACTTTTCTTCCACATGATCCTTTCAGTGGGCTTTCAGATAATTTAGCAGCACCAATGGGACAGGAAATATATAAATAAATACACATTGATAATTATTATATGGTTTGATTACTAAAAACTAACTTCTGCAACCATCTCTGGGTACTAAAGGTTTAAGCATCCTCAAAAGTCACATTATATGTGGAAGATTATAAATTTAAAAGAAACAAAATATCAGCAACCACTTACTCGATTAATCTCCAACAATTCCACACCTGATTTTTAATTCAGAATTGTCCTTCTACATTTGTTAACAAGCAAAGCTAGAGAGCTCAGTCTGTTTTACTATTTTCTGATGAAAGAAGTGATAGATTCATGTATTTTCCAAGGGCATTAATGGAAAGTGAACACAAACCATCACAGCCAAAATATGTACTCAACTTTTCTCCTCCTTCTATATCTGTAGTTCCCAACATGGGTCAGTTTGATTTTTAAGAGAGGCAATTTGAGAATGAGTTATTAACAGTGAATTTTTTTCCAGTGAGTCTGTGTGAGTTTGAGAGTATATGCAAGTTAATACATATGGTGCATACACAATATGCATATATAAAGATATTTCTGTGCATGTGTAATTACGTATGTACTGTATATAATATATATTTTTTATATTAGTAACTGTAAAGTTCTAAAATTAAATGATAATACTATTGCATATATACAGTCTCAAGTACTTAAGGAAAGTTAAGTTAATGGCCTTTTAGGCTCCCTCCATGTGAATAGATGTTCATTTTTTGAATAATAAGAATTATATGTCATAAGTGGGGTAGGACATCAATATTTTAGAGATGTTTAGGTTGGGCATGGCTAAAAAAAGGTTGGGAGTCACTTTCTATGAGCTGTGTCCCTTCAAGACATTGGCGATTATGTCTCTCCACAATTTCCAATCCCTTGTAGCTCTTAATAAATTTTGTCTGGTGCATTAGGAAGCTTCATCAATAATGTATATTCCTGATATCATTCAGGTTTCTAAAAATAGACACCCTCTACCTGGTGGCCCAACAAGGAGTGATCATCTCCTAGTCAGCTTCCCAAACTCTTTTGTTGATTCCATGAGCTTATATTGGTTTGATTACAGAAACTATAATCTGGAATTGGAATGAAAACAGTGATGGCATCTACTCTGAATCCATCATAAAAATTCAGAATGTGGATTTAGTAAATACTGAACATGTCAAATACCTCAGAACATGAATCAACTATAATAAATTTTATACAACAAAAAGGAAATTAAACATAGAATAGGCTGTGCTAGAGGTAGTTTTGCCCAATACTGCAAATTGCTACAAAACCAAAAAATTAACCTGAAAATTCAAGTCATGTTCTTAAATAGCCTTGTCAGATTGAGTCTTTCACATGGATATTGTGCATGGTGCTGTTGATGAAAAAGGTTGTTTCCCCCTACATACAAATAGAAACCCATATGACAGTTATCGAGGTTCAGAGATGCATATGGACCCCCGTTAGAGGACAGATACTCATTAAAGGAACTGGAACCTGCTCCTAGGCCAAAGGACCAACTCCAGATGAAGGGAATCACAGACCTGTACTGATAAAATGGATACCTGTTATCTTTGTCAACAATGGACCCCACTGGTAAGTCATGTTACACATTCTATGTAGGGGAGGATAATGTCTGCATTAGCTTTTCTAATAATAATAATAAATATTGTTATCATTATAACATGTGTCTAAGCATTTTCCTTAACCTATGCACTCCAACATTCCAACAGTGCCAACCTGTTCAGTAATATCTAAAACTCCCAGCTGTATACAACCACTTTCTAAGATCAGTGGTTAAAAATGGCTTTGAAGTGAAGCCTGTGATTCTTGGTGAAGAAAACACTTCTTTGAACCTTTTGGACTGGCATTGAAAAATCACAAAGGACTGTACCAGATAAGAGAAACTACATCATCTCTTGAAAACTTTCAATGACAGCAACAGCTAAAATAGATATCACATGTAACTTGAAGAGAGAATAATGATATAATTAAGATGTTGATATTCCACACCACTTCAAATAAAAGTATAGGAAGGAAACTCCATCAATACTGGAAAAAGCAATAACAGTGGAGTTAAGAAACTTATCTTATTGAAAAAACTGTTTTAAGAGAAAGATTTTATAAATTTCAACCAAAAGTAATAGAAACTGCTTGGTCAATGAATGAATGCTTCTTTATAAGGAAACGGTTAATATTACTATAATCACTACCATTTTAGAATTCCACCAATGAAAAATGGTTTTATAGTTTCTGTGGTCTTTATCTACCTATTTAATGTTGTTGAATTTTTAGAAATGTGAAAAAAATTGAATGCCGTTTGAAAACTAAAAAAAGAAGACTAAAGAAAATTCAATTTATTTGCTGAAGAAAATATTTAAGAATTTATTCTAAATAGAAATGGTTATGAAAGAAATAAAATGAAAACAATGAATTTATAAAGAAAAGGACAAGTAGAACGGAAATAAAATGAAATGAAATAATTTTTCATTTATAAAATCAAGGATAAAAGATCTTTTCAGGAAATAGAGAATAATTTTATAGAAAAAGAGTTGCAATATAAAACACCCCCCTACTTCGGTTTATATTTTATTTAAACAAAACCATATAGAAAAGGTATAAAACTATGAAATAAATTGACAAATTTGATAAGATTGTGTAAGTATCAACTAATCAAAAGGAAATATAGATGCATAAACATGACGGATGTTTTGTAAACAAATATTAAGAAAATAGAGAAAATTGCGAAAATACAGGAAAAATTGATTAAAAATCTACAGTTTATGCTAGACAAAATAGATAGATCTAAAATATAATAGCACTATTTTGTCAGTAATACTTACATAATTTCCTGACTATTAATAATCTATTTCTTCCTAAATTTTAATATTTCTGTAGTAAAATAATTTGCTATAGAAAGTTATTATACATTATACATACATTAGCCTAATTCTGTCACTAGTATTTACATTATTTCCTAGCTACTGACAATTCCATTCTTCCAAAATTTGAATATTTCTGTAGTAAAACCATTTGCAATATACTTCTATAGCAAAATTATTATACATTAGCCTAATTCTGTCAGTAGCATTTGCATTATTTCCTGACCACTGACAATCACATTCTTGCTAATTTTCAATATTTCTATAAAAAAAATATTTATAATAGATCTCTATAAAAAAAATATTATACATCATGAATACATTGGCCTAATAATGTCAGCAGCATTTAAATAATTTCTTGACCACTAATAATCTCGTTTTTTAACTTTCAATATTTTTTATAATAAAGTCAATTGCAATGCATTTCTATAGTAAAAGTATTATGCATTATAAATGTGTTAGCCTAATTCTATCAGTATCATTATTTCATGACCACTGGCTTTCTTTTTAATTTTCCATGCATAACATACAAATTATGTGCTAAAACTTGCTAAAGCCATTATTAAGTGAAGATTAGTATTTATTCAAAAATATTTTACTACCTTCAAATATATTTAGTTTATTAGTACAAAAAATGGCTAAAGTTAAGTGGTGAAATGAGAAAGTCAGTATGCAGTATTAAGAAGCACAAAATATACAACATATACTAGACTGAAATTCAGTCAATACCAAAACAAAATTAATTATTTGAATAAAGTCAGACATGCTATTATCTATCCCCAAACAATATTTTTAGAAATTATCTCCCTTTAGGAAATACATTCCAGGATGAGTCAAGCAGTTTGCATGTGAAGGAGTGTAAAGCTTAGGGAGTTATCAGTCTTAAGAAACTGAAGGAGTTAATGTTATGTTAATGTTATGTATGTTTTTGTATTCTTTGAATTATGAGACTTTTCAGCTTAAACATTGTCTCTGTAAAATTGCATCTAAACATCTGGAGAAGAAAAAAATGAAAGGTAGAGATGCATTAAAGTAACAAGGATATTTAATAACAAATAATGAGAAAATGAGCAAGCTGAAAATAGAATGGTAAAAAAAAAAGATACAATGTATAGTGAAGAGCTTAAAAAAATATACACACTCAAATAGTATTAGTGATTTGTAGGGACTTGAAAAATATCTAAAGATGTACTCATTTTACAACCTATAAAAAAAAAGAATATAGAATTAAAATGGCACTTACAATGATTAGGTAGAGGATTTTATGATGCATTAAGGAAAAATATGTATGTCAACCTTGTAGACTTCCCCGGAGGCCACAGCTAGGATTTCTTTTCAAGAATATAGGACCATGCTAAGATTTCTTTAACAATTCACCCAACTGGCTTATCACATTGAAACACTAGTTCTCGTATGATCACCAGAGTTAAGTAATGTTGAGTCTGGTCAGTACCTAGATGAGTGACCACTTGGGAATAGCAAGTGCTGTAAGTTTGAATGTGTGGATGGTGTAATAGATAATGGCTCAGAATTGGAAATCAAAGAGCCAATCAAGTTCCAATTCCAGTCAGGTTTATTATATTCACTTACTCTTGGGAAACGTATGAATCCAACTCTTCTCCCCCATCTATGGGTTAATTAGTAGAACTGATATCAGTAAATCATTATTATCTCCAAAGAAAAAGTTCTACAATCCAAATATATTTTCTGGCTTTAAATAACCTGCAATGGGTTGATAATCCGGAAAAAAATCTATCTATCTATCTATCAATCAATCAAAATATCCATACACAACCAGTTATAAATTCAGAGTTGTCCTTGTCCTAGATTGGTTGACAACCAAGGTCAGAGAGTCCATTTTGCCCCACTATTAAACCCGTAGCTGAGAGAAAAAGAAATAGAATTATACCTTTTCCAAGGCTATTTGTGCAAAAGCAACCACAACTGCATTGGCTAAAATTTGATCTCTATATGCTAATCTCACTTTCTGTATTGATAACCACTACACTGTACACACATCCTTAAGGAAAAATATCCAGGGAATATTCATTTTTTTTTTTTTACATAGATATGCTATACTGAATTTTAAAGTCAAAAATGCTAAGTGGGAAAAAATATACAAAATATTCCTTTTGCAGAGATCTCTGTAACATTTTAGGTACCCCTGATACACAGCTTGGCATCAATTTGGCTGACAGCTGGAGTTAAGTCTTACACAGATAAAGAAAGAAAAGCAAAAAAGGGAAAAAAAAGAAGAGTAGAGAGGAAAAAAGAAAGATGAGTAAATACTGAAAAAGAAAGAAGAGCAAAAAACAGAAAAAGAAAGAAGAGTAAAAAACAGAAAAAGAAAGAAGAGTAAAAAAGAAAAAAAGAAAGGGAAGAAAAGAGGAAAAAAAGAAAAACAAGTTAATACAGAAAGAGAAAGAAGTCCAAAGAAGAGAAAAGAAGATCAAAGAAAGGAAAAGAAAGAATAGTAAAGAGACAAAAAGATAGAAGAATAAATACATCAAATGAAAAAAGAGCAGAGAGAAAAAGAAAGAAGAGAGGAAAAAAGAAAGACAAGTAAATACTGAAAAAAGAGAGAAAAAGAAAAGTAAAGATGGAAAAAAGATGAACAAAGAGGAAAAACAAAAAAGAGTAGAAGAAAAAAGAAAGTAGAGGAAAAAGAAAGAATGTTAAAAAAGTAATAATTTATCTTGTATTTATTTATTTTACTAGCAATGTACTTGTAATTTAATGAAAAGATATCTCACTCTAAGCTCTATACACAGTGAATTTTATTGCTTGATATGCCAGAGTCTACTGGGATAACATTCCTTCATCTTCCCCAATTTGTATGAACTGCTTTTGGCTAGCTAAATGACTTTTAACAGCCAATCAGTGGAACCCCATCTTTACAGAGGGGCTGACTTTTCACAAACACCAAAGAGATGAAATGTTTTGAACTTGAGCATAGACAGTCATTTGCAATATGATGTACTTGTGAGTAAAAAGCAGTCCTTTGTAATATGATGTGCTAGACTTGTGAATAAAAAAGGCCTTTTGCAATATCCAGTAGTTTTCCTTTTCAGGATCAGGGAGAAAGCAAGTATCATTTTTTTTATATTTTGGTAGCATGTTTTCTTTCTAGAAATAAAAGCTTCATTTACAACTTTCTGACTTCTCTCTAGCCATCTTTATTTTTTATCATAAATGTTTGGGTATTATATATTATACTAGCAGCATGGCCCGGCGTTGTCCGTACTTGATTAAAAAATCGTACGACTCATACAGCAATCGCTATCACTTGACTTAAAATATTTTTGCCCTTCCTTGCCTTTAAAGGAGTGCCCTTTGCCGTGCTGATGTTGCTACATGCCTTACTTCTTGCCTATCTCACACTGCATATTTTTTCTAAGCTCTATACTAAACATTAAATCTGTTACAAAAAATGAACTAAACAAAATGAACACAAAATGATCAGCTTTAAAAAAGGACTTGTAACAGGAAAAACCGAATGAAAAAAGAATGTTAACAACAAATACTTTTTCACACTCAACCCATTTCTGTGGAATCAGAATCAACATTGAGTTTAAGCAAGCGAATGAGCCAATTGGAGTAAAGTGCCATGCAGATTTAAATTTTTCCCACTTGTGACGAATGCAGCTATCGATTTTTTTTGCATGCTGGCATGCTAGTTAACACTCATGTCAGTCAGCTGTTGGCTCTCACGCTGGCCAATAGAATCTTCCTGCCTATTTGTGGCAGCCAGCTATAGGCTCTCACTCTGGCCAGTACAAAATGGCTGAAAACTACATGAAAACTGCCATAGAAGCATGAAAAAATCGATTATTTCCACTATCCATGGGATTTGGGAAATGCAAAGTCAGTCCACTAACTTGTAGCATGTGCATGTAAATTTTGGTGCAAATCCGTCAAAAATTGCGGCCATGCATTCGTTACACACACACATACATCCTGCCTTTTATAGATAGAGATTATCTTTTCCAATAGCTAGATATGGTAAAGACTGCCCAACATATATTTGGTAACCCAAAAAGTCAATTAAATTGCTGTTAAAATAAAATTGTTGTAGCAAAAATTATAGAAAATTAAGCTGAACCTACTGCAGTTGTTTTACTTTATTTTCCTTGACTACCTTAATTTCCTGTGATGCTGAGAATTCCATGGACAGAGCAAGTAAACAATGAGGAAGTCTTAAAGAAAAATGTTAACAAAAAGAACACTTATACTGAGAATTAGATAAGAACAACTGAAGTTTCTTGGACACATAATGATGAAGGTAGGCTTAGAGAACTTGACCTTCACTGGGACATATCATGGTCAAGAGAGATAGTGGAAGGTAGCAGGCCACCTACCTAACATGCATGTGTGAATGGATGGTGAAATGAGTCAAGAAGGCTAGACAAAGAGAAAAACACTGCTAAGGGCCACAAGGGATATAAAGCTGTGGAGAGCCATGATCACCCATGTCCAAAGAAGAAGAAAAAGAAGGGAGTTTAGGTAATTCTGAACTATCAATGTCACAGGGACTTTTTATAGTTTTTCTTTTATAGAACAGCTCTATTAACAGGTTTCTGTTCCTTTCCAAAATTCTTCTCAGGAGGCAGCCAGAAATTGATTTTTTTTCTGGGTCCTTATTTTTCCTTCTGAATGAAATATTTAGTTGAAATATTTGGTTCTTGTTTGAAGATTTACCCTTCTTTGAAATTTGAAACCTTCTTGCTTTGCCAGCAGGCTCCATCCCTTAGAGTGACTTCTCACTCCATTCCACTATCAAACCTCTTTCTGCCTTGAAATTTGATTACATTCTGCTGTTATCTACTGGCCCTTCTTTTTATATAGGAAAAGAAGGGGCTTCAGACAGACCTTCAAAATTTATAAGAATATAAGCCCATGCTTTTCATTGGACAATAAATAAAATAGTACATATTTTTTAATTCAAAAAATGAATCTACCTAGACAGAAATAATTTTGGTGGTTTTTTTAGTTTGGTTTGGTTTATTTTGTTTCATGGCATATAAGCTTGGACTTCTTTCTATGGGGCTATGTTAAAGATATTATGTATCAACCAAATATATGGAACATCACTGATCTAAACCAGAAGATCACTGATGCCATTCCTACCTTTGATGAGGCTATGCTACAGCAAAAATGGTAAGAAATCAAGTACCAACTTGATGTGCTTCGTGCAACTAATGGTGCCCATATAAAGGTGTATTAAATTAGTTAAAAAACTTCAATATCTACTCCTTATTTAGTAACAATTTCCACATATTGATCTGTTTATTTGGTTTAGTAATAAATTTTTGAAATTGTAAAGAAACTTTATGGGCAACCTATATATATATATATATATATATATACAGGGTTTAGACACAATAATGTTAACATCTGGCTTAAACATTTATTTATTGACTAATAATGTGTTGGACCTCCATTAGCTTCTAAAACTGCTTTGATTCTATGTAGAATGAAATCAAATAAGTTATGAATTGTTTCCAGTGGAACTTTATTCCATTCTTCTATGAAAATCTTGGAAAGTTGCTTCACCGATGACAAGAATGAAATCTTTTAGTCACTCTCTGCTCTAGAACTCCCCATAATGGCTCAATTATGTTGAGATCAGGTGATTGCTGGTTATGGAAGATGTTTAATTATGTTATGATGCTCATCAAACCATGACTTGACTTTTTTGCAGCATGTATAGGTGCATTATCATCTTGGAATATGGCACTTTCTAGCAACAGGTGTAAGGACATTGTCATTGAGAATGTCAAGATATTTATATGCAGTAATTCTACCATTAAGAGTAATGATAGGACCAGAAGAATACCAGGAAATTATCACCCAAATCATTACTGAGCCATCTCCATGTTTGACTGTTGGGACTATGCAATCCAGATCATAGGCTTCATATGGCAGTGTTCTCCAGACATAATGACACCTGTTTGTAGGAAATCACGTGAAAGAAGACTCATAAGACCAAATAATATTTTTCCATTCCTTGAATGTCAATTTTTGTGATCATCACCATTTTTTTTTTTTTGTAACTTAACATTTGACATTGTGATCAGAGGTTTAGGAATCACAGCCCTTCCATGGATACCAGCTTTGTAGAGCTCCCGACGTATTGTTTGTGTAGAAACTGTATTGGTTAGGTGAGTAATGAGTTCTGATGTCACTTTTGCTGCAGTAGTTTTATGATTTTTTTGCACAATTCATTTTAAAGCTTGTCAGGATCTTTTGGTCAACTTTGGTTTCCATCCACTATTACCCTTTGCTGATGATGTTTTGCCTTGTTTTGTGTAAGCTGTCATAACAGTGGACACTACAGCTCATGACACATTCCGTAATTCAGACATTTTGGTCAGAGATGCTCCTGGTAATTGAGCACCAACTATTTGTCCTCTTTGAAAATCTGACAGGTCATGCATTTTAGTATATAACTCTTTTACCTTTTTTTTCTTTTTTTTTTTTTAAGCGTTTCA